TCCATAAGCTGTCAGCCACATGATCCCTTTGGGGCGCAATTCTACCCTGAAGCACATGGGATTTCTGGGACCCGGAACCGACTTGATGGCAACAAGTTTGGTTTTGGGGGGCGGAGGCGGGGGATTAGTAGTGTCTCCCTCCTCTGCCCCAGCCTTCGCCTGCTCATTCTCACCTTGCCAGCCCATTTTCCAGATCCAGCCTCCTCTTCCTCACCCCCCCTGCCCCCAACTAAGGACCTGGCAGGCAGAGGTAGGTTGTCTGACAAATCAGGGAAGAAAGCGGGGAACGGAGACATTCTGACCCCATCACACCCCCGTCGGGCAAACACGTTTCTCGTGAAACCTCATTGCCCTCATCTGCAGAAGAAGACTGCTTTCCAAGGCCGTGAGGATTCAGTGAGGTCGTCTATATACCACCTTCACCGTGCTTAATACAGTCCAGCTCCTGTTACTATGCCCCCACCCCACCCCCAATGTCCCCTACCACTAGATATAGGCCCCGTGCTGTGTCTTTGTGACCCCAGAGTCTCAGTCGAGGCCTGGAGCGGCTAGAAACAAAAAGCGTCGCATGGGAGGACAGGGCGGTCTGGCTGTGAGGTCCACTGCGTCATGGATTGACCAGCAGGGTTGGTTCCACTGATCTGGCTGCCTCGGTGGGGCCCTCTCCCTCCCACATGGCTCCAGGTGGGTCCTTCCCAAAGCTGCATGCTCTGATAGAGGAGGGCTGCCCCTTGGCCAGGGTCTCTGAGTAGCTGCATTCCTCTGCTGGAGCTTCCAGTCAGGTTCTCACCACCAGTTGCGCGAGCAGATGGGACTCATCGCAAACCCTGTGGTCAGAGAAGAACGGTGCATCATGGGACTTTTACAACTCTCCTTTGGGGAGCCTTTCCTCCAAGGCACCTCTAGGTGGGTTCAAGCCGCCAGTCTTTCGATGAGCAGCCAGACAGTGCACTGCACCGTTTGAGCCACCTCGGGACCAGTAGATACTTACAAGTGCTTAACGAATTGATATAAGGGTGGCTTAATGAGGTGCCTGGGGTTTACAGTGCACCCTTTCTCAGATATTCTCAAAGGGCCATTTCTAAGTGATCAGCCCTGTGTTTTGTGGCATCCTCCCAACATCCCGTGGTGGACTGAAGCTTACGTGCAAGTGGGCACACATCTGGCTGCGAATTCCCTGAAGCTGCATTTCCCAAGCGGGGTTCTAGATGAGAGTAAACCAGGAGAGGGAGGAGGAGGGAGAGAAGGTGAGTAGTAGGCTACATGACTCGGTCAGGAAATGAACTCCTCCATCTTGCGCTGCCACAATAGCGCAGAAAAGCTGTGCTCTGGCCACCAGGAGGGAGAAATTTGGAGAGCAGACAGCGGGGGCTACCACTGCTCCCTCTCGAGATCATATCTACCTCCTGCTGCCCATCAACCTGGCAGCAGACAAGCCAGGGCTGAGCACTGTCTGCACCAGCGCCACAAAAGGGAAGATAATTAAAAGGAGTCTGCTGGCCTGGCAGACAGGAGCACCCCCAGATCTGAGCCACAGGAAGAGTTTGGGTCTTTATCCAAAGAGCAATAGGAAGTCGCTCAAGGGTATCAGGGGGGCTGGTGAGGAGACTCCTGGAGGTCTGTCTGATGCCAGCATTGGTATGTTCACATGGGAGTCCTGGCCTGGCGACCTGGCTTCTCGCTGAGAAGTTGGAGCTGTGAGTCCATCCAGAGGGGCCTCAGAAGAAAGGCCTGGTGACCTCCTTTTAAAGAGCCAGCCTGAGGAGCACAGTGCTACTCTAGAGACGGTAGCAATGGAGGTAGTTTGGACAAGGATGCTGGCAGTAGCGACGGACGGCAGCGGATGGATAGAAAGGTTCCCCCGGAGATAAGAGTATAAGACTTGCTGATGGACTGGGGTCGAGGGCTGGCAAGAGGGTGGCAGCTCCCAGATTTGGGTCTCACACATGGAAGGCCTAAGGCACCCTGACTGCAAGCCTTCCGGGGTGCTCCTCATTTCGCAGAGGAAACATTGGGGATCAGTGGATGACAGGGCTTGCCAAGGGGCGGGCCAGAGCCTTGTTGAGAGCTAGGAGAGTAGTAGTATTTCCATTGGATGCCCTTCGGGCGCTGAAGTCCAGGTCCAGCCTGGCCTTCTCTGCATCAGGTCCTTAACAAAGGCCGTCTTTTCTCTGCTCATCACGATGTGACCCACTGGTCCAGTTGTGCGTATTTTCGTTTTCTTTATTCCATACTGAAGGCTGTGATCCTTCATCTTCATCAACAAGGGCTCCAAGTTCTTCACACTTTAACAATCTAGGTTGTTATATCAGCTGCATATCAGGTTGTTACTAAGCCTTCCTCCAATCCTGATACTGTATTCTTCTTCCTACAGTCCAGATTCTCAGATTATTCGCTCAGCCCACAGATTGAATAAGTATGGTGAAAGGATACAACCCTGATGTGCACCTTGCTTGATTTTAAATCAGGCAGCATTCCCTTGCTCTTTTCACACACTGCCTCTAAATCCACATTCAGGTCCCACAGGAGCACAATGAAGTGTTCTGGAATTCCATTTTTCTCAGTGTCATCCATAGTGGGTTACGATCCACACAGTTGAATGTCTTTGCATAATCAATGAAAGACAAATAGACATCTTTCTGGCTTTCTCTGCTTCGAGTTAAGATCTACCTGATATTAGCAATTATATCTCTCATTCCACATCGTCTGAATCCAGCTTGAATTTCTGGAAGCTCTCGGTCAATATACTGTTGCAACCGTTGTTGAAAGATCATCAGCAAAATTTTACTTGCATGTGGTATCAATGATACTGTTCTATAATTTGTGCATTCTGTTGGGTCAGCCTTTTTTGGAATGGATACAAATATGGATCTCTTCCAGTCACTTGGCCAAGTGTCTGTCTTCCAAATTTCCTGGCATAGATGACTGAGTGCTTCCAGCGCTTCATCAACTGGTTGAAATATTTCACTTGGTATTTTGTCAATTCCTGGAAACTTGTTTTTCATTAACACTTTCAGTGCAACTTGGATTTCTTCCTTCAGTACCACTAGTTCTGGCTCATATGCTACCCTTTGAAATGGTGTAATGTAAACTAGTTCTTTTTGGTACAGTGACTCTATGTATTCTTTCCATCTTTTTTTATGTTACTTATACCATTCCTATTTTGCCCTTAGAATCTTTCAGTATTGCAACTCAAGGCTTGGTTTTTTTTCCTTGAGTCCTTTTAGTTCAAGATGTGATGACTGTGTTCTTTCCTTTTACTTTTCTAACTCTAGTTCTTTGCACATTTCACAATAATATTTTACTTTGTCTTCTCAAACTGCCCTTTAAATGTTTCTGTTCAACTCTTTGACTTCATCACTTCTTCTATTTGCTTTAGCTACTCTATGATTGAAAGTAAGCTTCAGAGTCTCTTCTGACAGCCGCACTGATCTTTTCTTTCTTCCTTGTTGCTTTAATGACCTTTTGCTTTCTTCACGAATGATGTCCTTGATGTCCCCCCACAGCTCATCGGGTCTTCGGTCATTCTTATCCAGTGCAGCAGATCTGTCCTTGAGATGTCCTCTAAATTCAGGTGGGATCGACTTAAGGTTGTCTTTTGGCTCCTGAGGACGTGGTTTCATTTTCTGCAACCTCAGCATGAATTGACATGAACCAATTGATGGTCTGCTCCACAGTCAGCCCCTGGCCTGGTTTTAGCTGTTGATGCTGAGCTTCTCCATCGTCTCCTCCCACAGATGTGGTCCATTTGATTTTTGTGTCTTCCACCTGGAGAAGTCCATGTGTCTAGTCACGGTCTGTGTTGTTTGGGGGGAGGGGGAAGTGCTTGCTATGAAGAAGTCTTGCAAAATCCTATCATGTGACCTTGATTTCTATCACCAAGGCCATATTTTCCAACTACAGTGAACCCTCGTTTAT